GAGACCAAGGGGTCAGAAGACCAGTCAAGAGAGGCAAGCAAGCAAGTAGGAACCAGCCCTAGCAAAGTACAGAAGCGCTGCTGATCACCAGACTGAAGTGCCTTGGTGAATATATCAGCGGTGTTGGCCTGTGAGGCCACGTAACGCAGACGAAGCTGACCACGCTGCTGCAGCTTTCGAGCGAGGAAGTAACGAAGAGCAATGTGCTTCGTTCTGTGCTCCAGTCTGTGCTCCTCACACAAGGCAATGACAGCCTTGTTGTCGACGTACAGCACTGGAGGAGAACTAGACCGCTCTCCCAGGTCGGTCAGCAAGTAGGTGAGCCTGCGTAACTCCTGTGCAGCCATGGCTGTGGCATAGATCTCAGCCTCACAACTGGAGCTGAGAACTGAAGACAAACGCGTAGAGAGCCACGAAAGTGAGCCAGAGCCAAGGCTGAAGGTGTAAACCCGTGACGACCGCTGAGTAGCCTGGTCGTCAACCCAAGAAGCGTCTGAGTGCCCAGTGAGAACAACTGAGCTCCCTCCTCCAAGCACGAGTCCCATGCCCGATGTACTGCACAAGTAACGCAAGACCCTCTTTGTAGCATCCCAGTGCACCTTTCGGTGCCTGCCAGGAGCCACGTAGCGGGACAGAAGGCCAAGAGGGTATGCTAGGTCAGGACGAGTGCAAGTCATCAGGTACATGAGGCAACCAACTAGCTTTGGGTAAGGACCACTTGACTCTACGGACTCATCCGAAGGCAGAGCTAAGAGTGAGTGACCTACAGCTAGAGGAGTGGCCTGTGCTGAGGACCAGGTGAAGCCGAAGCGCTGAAGGACCTGCTGCACCATATGTGACCGAGTCAGGGTAATGGTGCGGCGTGCTCTTTCCCGGGTGATCTGCAAGCCAAGGTAGCTGCGCAGTTCACCCAAGTCTATGCACGTGTGTCTCTTCTGCAGCTCCGAATTCACGTGGGCAAGAGCCTCAGTGTCAGTAGTGGCAAAGACCAAGTCGCCAATGTACACGGGGATGTAGAACGGCGGCAGCAAAGTGTCGGTGCGCAGAAACAGCGACGGGTCAGCATTAGAGGGCGCGAACCCAAGTGCCGCCAGAGTAGTCCTTAGTGTGTCGTGCCACTCACGTGGCGCCTGGTGGAGACCGTAGACTAGCCGCCGGAGGCTCCACTGGGTACCAGGAGGAAACGACCCAGTGAAGCCAGGAGGGTGGCGCAGCCAGATCTCCTCGTGCAGGCTGCCGTGCAAGAAAGCTGTGCTGAAGTCAAGTGAGTGAAGCTCGTAGTCACGCTGAGCAGCAACGTGCAGTAGCATCCGAAGAGTGGTCATCTTCGGGGTGGGGGAGAAGGTCTGAAAGAAGTCTACTCCCTCTTGCTGACTGAAGCCTCGAGCAACGTAACGAGCCTTGAAGACAGGCGGAGAACCCGGCGGCTGCTTCACCCTGAAAATCCACATGCCACTGACGATGTTTGCCCCAGGAGGGGGAACCTCGTCAACGTAGTGCCAATGGAATTCCTGGATGCCATCTCTGCATCCATGGCTGACTGCCACTGAGAGGAGTACTCACCCGCGATCGCCTCAGCGTAAGAGTGCGGGGTCGGGATGTCTGGAGCATCCGGGTCTCCCTCAAGGGCAATCAGCATGGACACGAGATGAGGCGCAGCAGTTGCAAGACACTCAAGGTGCTCCTGTCTGTCCTCAAGGACGTCCGTGCTTAGAGCACACTCACCCCCGACGGACGGAGGACAGACAGACTCAGACTCAGCAAGAAGACTAGCAGCGTAGTCTAGACGACAGCGAGCAGCAAAGTTGACAAGCTCAGCAACTAGGGCAGACGCAGCAGCAGACTCAAAGGAAGGGTCAGTGACAGCAGTAGCCAGGAGACGCGTGGCAGTAGGACTGGCAGCACGAACGGAGTCAGACTCCGGGTCAGCAAGGGCAGGAAGAGAGGACGGGGGAGGAGACGGCAGAGAGACACGCTGTGGAGCAGTGGAGGGACGCAGTGACATCCGTTGTGTGCGAGGGACAGGTGGCGGACGCTCACGTGGTACACGGCGACTAGCACAAGCAGTACGAAGAGGTGACGCCGGACGGGACACAGGCGACACAGGACGAGACTCAAGCTCACGACGCTCTGTAAGACCGCATGTCGGACCTGTGTAGGGAGGAGGACCAGAATGTGGCGAGGTAGGTGGTAGCTGTGATTGCGAATGGCTAGGCGAGCGTGTGCATCACGGGTCTGCCACTGGGAGTGCGCTGTACTGTCTGCAGTAGCAGGAGGTGCGGGAGCAGCGCCTGACGTATGGTCATACAGTGAGATATCATCTATCCATACCTCAAACTTAATCGGGCGACCCTCAGCGTCAAAGGTGAGAATGGATGGGGTGGCCATTGTGGTACAGTAGTAGTAACAGTAGTACAGTAGGAACAGGAAAAGGACTTGCTGCAAGTGGGGCACAGTAGGGCGGCGCGGCTCGGTTTGGGCGGTGCGGCTCGGTTTGGGCGGCGCGGCTAGGTTCGGGCGGCGCGGCTCGGTTCGGGCGGCGCGGTTCGGTTCGGGCGGCGCGGCCCGGTTCGGGCGACGCGGCTCAGTTCAGGCGGCGCGGCTCGGCTCGAGCTGGGCTACGCGGCGGCGTGCGCCTAGAGGACATGCGCGCGGGCGGCTGTAGCGGGCAGGCCGGGGCCGCTCGTGGGCCTTACTAGCTCGCGGGTGGCCTAGGGAGGGCGTCGCGGCGGCCTACGAGTGGCTCACGGGCGGCGCGTGGCTAGGGGGGGGGGGGGCGGTCGACGGGCTGCTCGTGGCGGCGTGGGCGTCTAATGGGCGGCGCGCGCTCAAAAACGGCCGCGCGCGGGCTGCTAGAAGGCGACGTGTGGGAAAATAAAGGCCGCGCGCGGCACTAGCAAGCCGCGCACAGGCAGTAGGAGAGGGCGAGGCGCACGAGGGCGCACTGGGGGAACGTCGCTCGAGGGCGCTAGGACGATGGGGCGCTCGAGGGCGCTTCTAACGGTGGGCCCTTAGGTGAGGCCTAGGTCTAGAACCTAAGCTTTGATACCATGTCAGAATGAGAAGTGGTTGAACTATGAAAAGTTGGAGTACAAGTAGAAAACCCTAGCTTGTGTACCCCCTAGCAAGTCAAGAAGCTCAGCAACTAGGGCAGACGCAGCTGTGGACTCAAAGGAAGGCTCAGTGAAAACAGTAGTAAGGAGACGCGTGACTGAAGGACTAGCAGCATGAAGGGAGTCCGACTCTGGGTCAGCAAGAGTAGGAAGAGAGGACTCTGGAAGAGACGGCAACGGGATACGCAGAGGAGCAGTGGAAGGACGCACGGCCATCTGGTGTGTGCCGGGGAGCACAGGAGGACGCGGGCGCGCAGTAGGACCACTAGTGCGAGCAGTACGAACAGGCGACGCAGGATAAGACGCAAGCGCACGACGCTCAGCAAGACCTCCAGTAGGACTAGTGTAGGGAGAAGGAGCGGGTAGAGGGGAGGCGGGCTGTAACTGTGACTGCGACTGGACAGGCTGTGGACACTCTAAGGAAGGAGCAGGACCATGAGAGGGCGGGAGACCAAGAACCTGCTCCAGGAGCGAAACGAAGTATGGCCTCAGCCGCTCAGCGCCTCCAGAACCACCAGGGACAGCACCAGTACCCCAAGCGGCACCATCAGCGCCAGCAGCACCTCCAGCTCCAACAGCGCCAACTCCAGCACCCTCAGAAGTACCAGCGCCAGCAGCACCGCCAGCGCCAACACCTCCAGCAGCTCCAGCTCCAGCAGGGCTGTCAGCTCCAGCAGCCTCAGCAGCACCCCCAGATGCACCAGCGCGAGTAGAAACACCAACGAGAACATCCCCAGCAGCTCCAGCTCCAGCAGCACTAGTACCGCTAGCAGCTCTAGCAGGACCAACTCCAGTAGCCCCAGCAGCACCCCCAGTCTCAGCAGCACGTCTCCAGCGGCGAGCAAACCACTCGCGCTGCTCGTGTGGAGAGAGTGGCTCCCGCCTCGACAAAGCACCACCGGCGGCCACACAAGCAGACCCAGCGCCCCCAGGTTCGGCACCCCCAGGCTCCACACCCCCAGGCTCCGCACCCCAAAACCTTGCACCCCCAAGCTCAACACCCCCAGACTCAGCACCCCCAGTCTCAGTACCCCCTTACTCCGCACCCCCACGCTCAGCACCCCCAGTCTCAGCACCCCCAGACCCGGCACCCGCAGGCTCAGCTCCTCTAGCAGCACCAGAGTCAACAGCTACCTCAACAGGCTCGACTGCGTCTACCTGGGACACACCTGAAGGGGCAGGACCCTGAGGGGGGAGAGGGTTTACCACGGGAGGACCTGGGGCAAGGAAGAGGGGCGGCGGGGGGAGGGGCGCAGTGCGGTAGGGGAAGAGACGGTCGTAAGGCACCGACTCGTCAAAGGTGACGCCCTGGGAGGAAAGAACACGGCGCGAGGCGGGGTGGTAAAACTGCCACCCAAGCACGTCAGGGGGGAAGCCAAGGAAGACGCGGGGAACAGCACGGGGGGACAGCTTGTCCGCAGACAAGTCGCGGACAAACGCCCGAGATCCCCAGACCCGAAATGCAGACGCATCGCCAACCTTCCCGGTCCACCGCAAGGCGGGGGAGGTCTCTGGCAAGGAGACCCAGGGCTGAAGGTTGAGTTGATGCGCGGCGTACTGAACCGCAAATGGCCACAGAAAAAGGGGGGCAGCCGCATGCATCATGGACGTACGAGCGACGTCCATGACCATGCCAATGTGGCGCTCAGCAATCCCATTTTGCTGTGGAGAGGCCGGAAGCGTGAAGGTCTGGCGGATGCCCTGTGCACGCCAAAAGGCTCCTAGACGGGCAGAGGAAAACTCCCCGCCTCTGTCCGAGTGCAGATGCAGAACAGGAAAGTCCGAGCCGAAACTCTCTCTGAGCTGGAGACGAGCTGCGCGGATCCAGTCGATCAACACCTCAGTGAGGTCACCCTTGCTGCGCAAGGGGAAGATTGTGGTGTAACGCTAGGGGAGGGAGAGATTGAGGGAGACCAGAGACAAGGACACCGGAGGCCATGCCTCGGAGACGAGGCAAGGAGGGGTGACCAAGGCGGTGGTGCCAGAGGAGAGTCTGGTGGGACAGGAGACGACACGAGCAGGGAGCAGACTCAGGACTAGACCTGGACGCTGCAGCAAACACCTGACTCGACGCAGCTACCTGGCCAGACTCAGCAGCCGGAGGGGACTCAGTAGTAAAGGTGTACAGGCTTGACCCTGGCCGACGAGTGAACGTGGCCAAGTGTCGGCCTGTCCGAGCACACGTGCAGTGGGTCACTCGCTGACTCGCAGGAGTGAACTGGTCAACCCCCCTATCCTGTAGGTCCGCTCCACTCACCAAGTTCGTAGAGAACGAGGGGAGGTAGAGACCTGACAGGGTGCCAGAGGGGGCTGCCGGGCACGGTAAGACAGTGGAGAAGCTAGCAAGGACAAGACCCCTAGAGGGGTCTATTAGGGAGACTGCATCCGGCTGACTGAGCGGCGTAAGAGTGATGGGGTCTTGAAAGAAGGAGCGGGACGCATCCGAGTCAAGGGTGAAGGTGTGGAAGGCATGAGCCGACGTAGTACCTGAGAGAGCAGACTCACCAGCACCTGGGGCAGCAAATGAACTGGCACCTAGGGCTGCAGACGCACTGGCTCCTGGGGCAGCAGACGCACTAGCACCTAGAGCAGCAGCCTCACCAGCACCTAGAGCAGTGGCCTCAAAGCTCGGGTCAGGCGGTACACACAGGTAACAGTCACCTTCAACACTAGTAGTCACAGAATACATGGCAGCAACGATAGCATTTTAGTCAAGATCAAAGACGGCAACCCCCGCCCTAGACAGATCTCCCCAGCGAGGGATCTCTGACGCCTCAGGGAACTGGCGACGCCATGCGTCTGTCAGGCGACCGAAGTAGTGCTGGGTGGAGTGCGGGCCCCCGCACTGCTCACCAGCTCGGTCACCGGTACGGAGGACGTAAGTGCAGGGACCAAAACCCCCACTGCGCTAGCACGCAGTGTACCATTCACGAAGCTGCTGAGGGGACAGGGTCACACCAATCTGCTGCTGCTAGCGCGGACCACCACATGAGCCACTCCTCTGCGCAGAGTCGCAACCTGCTCCACCACCGCCACCTCCGCCGCCACCGCCTCCGCCGCCTCCTCCACCTCCGCCTCCTCCGCCACCTGCGCCGCCTCTGCTCCCTCCGCCACCACCGCCGCCTCCGCCGCCTCCACTCCTGCCGCCGCTGCCGCCACCCCCGGTACCACTCCCACCACCACCCCCACTCCCTCTACTACCTCCACCACCACCTCCACCGCCCTCGCCAGTCCCTCCAGCGCCCTTGCCCCCCTTGCCCTTGCCAGTGCAGCGTCTCCCGCTCGGGGCAGACGCAGCGCCGACCGACTCGAAACCAACGAGGTCGGCCGTAGCAGCAGAGGCAACAGAGGGCAAGAGGGGGGAGGGAGAACACCCCTCAAAGACGGGGGTGCGAGGGTCACAACGAGAGGCTCCTACATCGACTATACTCTTCTCTGCTACTAGGAGGGCCTTCTCGAGGAGGTCAACGGTGAGAGTGGTGGGGCAAACTGAGAGGAAGTGGTCCATGACTACGCGGAGAGAGTCAGGGAGCCGGGTGACTATGTAGTAGAGGGTGATGTACATGGGGGGGGGTTTCTTGGTGCAAGGTCAGGGAAGAGGTACGATAGCATGAGGCGGCTCAGTGCAGCAGTGGCTGAGGAAGAGTAGTGTGCAACTCCAGCGTCGTACAGGGTCTGAGCACTCTTCTACAGTCTAAAGTGTGCACGCTCAGTGGTCGGTAAGTGGCGGCGCACAGCAAGGCGAGCAGCAGCATCACGCGTGGCCCACTGTGAGCGAACAGTGGCATCAGCATCAGCATTAGGGGCAGGGGAGGCACCAGAGGTGAGGTCAAACAGGGAGAGACCGTCTGCCCTATCGCACTGTAGAAAAAGCTGCAGATCATCTACCCAGACCTCAAAGTCAATGGCCCGACCTTCAGCGTCAAAGGTGAGAACACTAGGGGAGGCCATAACAGCAGTAGACAGGCAGTGAGTACAGTGGGGCAGGGCAGTGCAGTGGCAGAGGCGCTTCTCTTACCAGGTAAGTGAGGCGGACCTGGGCAGGCAGACAGGTGGCGGCGCCTCGGCTGCAGATCGGCTTGGCGGCTCGGCGGCAAAGGCGGCTCGGCGGCTCGGCATCACAGGCGGCTCGGCGACTCACCGGCTCGGTGGCTCGGCGGCGCAGCGGCTCGGCAGCTCGGCAGCAAAGGCGCCTCGGCAGGGCCGCTGAAGGGCGGCGACGGGGTCCCTGAAAGGGCGCCGACGGGGCCGCGGAAGGGCGGCGACGGGGCCGCTGAAGGGCGGCGACGGGGCCGCAGGTAGGGGCGGCAACGGGGCCGCTGAAAGGGCGGCATTAGGGCCGCGGAAGGGCGGCTTCGAGGCCGTTGAAAGGCGGCGACGGGGCCGCTGAAGGGTGGGGACGGGGCCGCTGAAAGGGCGGCGACGGGGCCGCGGAAGGGCGGCGACAGGGCCGCTGAAAGGGCGGCGACAGGGCCGCGGAAGGGCGGCGACGAGGCCGCTGAAGGGCGGCGACGGGGCCGCAGGTAGGGGACGCGTCGGGGCCGTTGAAAGGGCGGCGACAGGGCCACGGAAGGGCGGCGACGGGGCCGCTAAAAGGCGGCGACGGGGCCACTAAAGGGCGGCGACGGGGCCGCTGAAAGGGCGGCGACGGGGCCGCGGAAGGGCGGCGACAGGGCCGCTGAAAGGGCGGCGTTGGGGCCGCTGAAAGGCGACGACGGGGCCGCGGAAGGGCGGCAACGCGGCCGCTGAAGGGTGGCAACGGAGCCGCTGAAAGGGCGGCGACAAGGCCACCTAAGGGCGGCGACGGGGCCGCGGAAGGGCAGCGATAGGGCCGCTGAAAGGGCGGCGTCGGGGCCGCTGAAAGGCGGCGACGGGGCCGCGGAAGGGCGGCAACGGGGCCGCTGAAGGGTGGCGACGAGGCCACAGTTAGGGGCGGCGACGGGGCCGCTGAAAGGGCAGCGATAGGGCCACCTAAGGGCGGCGACGGGGTCGCCTAAAGGGCGGCGCGACGGGGCAGCAGGGTCGGCGCGACGGGGCCGCAAGGGCGGCGCGACAGGGCCGTTAGGGGCCGTAAGAGGGGCCATTAGGGGCCGTAAGAGGGGGAACGACACAGGGCGCGACTCGGGCAGGGGCCAAGCGCGCTCTCGGCAGGAAAAAAAAAGATCAGTGGGCCCTAGGAACAGTTCCCACGAGGGAACCAGCTCTATACCATGTGAAGTTTAGAACGAGAGAATGATTAAACTATGAAACAGTTGGGTACAAGTAATAACCCTAATTGGGTTGTACCCCTTATGGGCTACCCCACTACAGCCTACACAGATGTATAAGCTATAATGTTCCGACATAGCCTACACAACAATAACACATATAGTGTTTGACACAGACGAGCGGTCTCCTTGGCTGAGATCGACTTTTTGCATGCAACGAAGTGTGCCATCTTCATCAACCTGTCAACGACGACCATCACCGCGTCGTTACCTCCAGGGTTTGAAGGTAACCCTGTGACAAAGTCCATGGTAACCAACTGCCAGGCGCGGTCGGGCGGTGGTATCGGCTGCAATTGACCCGCCTTCCGCTTCCTTGAGCTCTTCATCACCTTACACGTGGGGCACAAGCCCACGTGCTGCTGCACGTCGGTCAACAACTCCGGCCAGTACAAATACCGCTGCAGTTGCTATCAGGTTTTTTCTACCCCAAAATGTCTCAAGGTAATTCTGTCGTGTGCCTCCTGCAGTAGCAGCTCCCTTAGTAGTGAGTACGCGGGTACCCAGATGCGGTTGGTGCCTGTTTTTACGTAATAAACTCCTTTAGCTTCCGCCAGTTGCTGTGAGTTTCCGGTCGTGAAGAATGGGTCAGTGCGGTACCCGTGGGTAAACAGGCCTGTTAAAAGTGGGTTGGTCTGGGCGAGTAGGATGGCGTGGAGTTGGGCGGTAGGGCGGGTGAGTGCGTCGGCGATGTTGGATGCGCCTTTCTTGTACGTAACCGTGTAGTGGAAGTTGGACTCGAGGTAGTCCAACCAGCGAATCTGTCGTAGATTGAGATTCGGTTGGGCGCGTAAGTACTGTAGTGATCGGTGGTGTGTCCGTACTGTCACGTCGGCGCTAGTCAGGTAACACCGCCAAACCTTGAACGCGTGCACGATTGCCAACATTTCGCGTTCGTGTATCGGGTAATTGCGTTCGAGCGGGTGCAGCTTGCGGGACTCGTACGCGATTGGCTGGAGGCCGATCCCAAAATCCTGCAACAGTACTGCTCCCACAGCGATGTCACTTGCGTCAGTGACGAGCTCGAATGGACGGTGTGGATCTGCGATGTGAAGCACGGGCGGTGAGCACAAAATGTTTTTGAGGGCCGAGAAGGCAGCTTGCTCTTTCTCCCCCCACGTGTACTCAACCCCCTTCCTCAGCAGGTCAGTCAACGGGGCAGTCAAATTTGCCATGTCGGGGACGAACCGGCGCACGTAGTTGTCGAACCCCAAAAAACTCTGCAGCTCGGTGAAGTTGGTCGGCGCGTGCCATGCTTGAATCGTCGCAATTTTCTTCGGGTCTATTTCCACTCCTGCAGCTGAAATAACGTGTCCCAAAAACTCCAGGCGGTCCTGTAAAAACTCACACTTAGACGCTTTTGTCAGTAGGCGGTTCTCACTCACGATTTTAAAAACTGCTTTGTGTCAAACATTATATATGTTGTTGTGGTTGTTTAGGCTACAGTGGGTTAGCCTATAGGGGGTACACATTCCTAGGTTTTGATACTTGTACTCATTCCATTCATAGTTCATTCATTCTTGTTCAACATGGTATAGAGCATGTCCTTCCTAGGACCGATTTTTTAGGGCCCACCACTACCTACCTACCTACCTGCGCCCTAGGTTGCCTCGGCTTTCACGCCCCTAGAGGCCCCGTCGGCCCCGCGCTCTCGCACCTAGAGGCCTCGGTCGGCCCCGCGCTCGCTTTTAGAGGCCACGAATCGGCCCCGCGCTTACCCCTAGAGGCCCGCGTCGGCCCCGCGCTCGTCCTTACCGGCCCCGATCGGCCCAGCGCTCGTCCCTCACGGCCCCGATAGGCCCCGCGCTCGCCCTTAGAGGCCCACGCTGGCCCCGCGCTCGTCCCTTACGGCCCCGATCGGCCCCGCGCTCGTCTCTCACGGCCCCGATAGGCCCCGCGCTCGCCCTTAGCACCCACATCGGCCCCGCGCTCGCCCTTAGCACCCACGTCGGCCCCGCGCTCGTCCCTCACGGCCCCACCCACTCCCCGCGCTTGCCCTTAGCGGCCCCGAACGGCCCAACCCATACCGAGCAGCCCGAACCGAGCCGACCCGAGCCGCCCAGCCCTAACGGAACCGAGCCGCCCGACCCGAGCCGCCAGCCCTAACCGACCCGAGCCGGCCGAACCGAGCCGCGCCGCCCGAACCGAGCCGCCCGAACCGAGCCGCGCCGCCCGACCCGAGTCGCCCGAACCGAGCCGCGCCGCCCGACCCGAGCCGCGCCGCCCTACCTATACCGAGCCGCGCCGCCCTACCTGTACCGAGCTGCGCCGCCCTACCTCTCCTACTGCTGCTACCATGGCTAGCCCTCCTGTCCTAGCCTTCGATACTGAGGGCCGCCCAGTGAAGTTTAACACCTGGCTTGATGACCTACACCTCTTCCTACAGCTCACTGCCAAGGAAGACATCTTGCTGTACGATCATGCCTTAGGCCACGCTACTGCTCCTGCTGCTACTGCTGACACCACTGCCCGCTCACAGTGGCAGACTCGTGACGCCCGTACTCGCTTCGCTATTCACAACTCTCTGCCGATAGATGAGCGCGAGCACTTTGGGCAGCACAAGACTGCACAGGCATTGTACACAGCTGTTGTTGCCCGCTACTCCTCGCCGGCCTCCTTCCACACTGTCGCTGATCTCATCACCCACCTCCGCACTAGTGAGGCTCGCTTCCGCGACGCTATGCCTGATGAGTTCCTTGCCAAGAACCCAAACCCGCTCTGGCTCACTCTCTACCACCTAGTCACGCGCCTCCCTGACACTCTGCACTTAGTCAGGGACCACTTCCTAGCTCGCTGCCCCACCGAGCTCACCATTGCCCTCCTCGAGAAGGAACTGCTTGCAGCTGAGACTAGCATAGTCGCTGTAGGTGCCTCTCGCGGTGACCCCCGTACCCCGTTCTTTGAGGGGTGTTCTCCCTCCCCCCTTCTTCCCTCTGTCGCCTCTACTGCTGCTGTCGACCTCCTTGGTGCTGAGAAGGTCGGGACTGCGTCTGCTTCGAGTGGGCGCCGCAGCGGCAAGGGCAAAGGGGGCAAGGGCGGTGGTGGTGACAGCGGGGGTGGCGGTGGTGGGGGAGGTGGTGGTGGCGGGGGGGGTGGCGCGGGTGGGGGAGGTGGCAGCAGTGGGGGGGGGGTGGCGGCAGCGGCGGGGGAGGTGGCCGGGGCGGAGGAGGTGGTGGGGGTGGCGGTGGACGAGGCAGCGGCCGGGGTTGGGGTGGTCGAGGAGGTGGTAGCGGCGGTGGTGGTC